TCAGTAGCTCATGTTAACATTTAGCATATACATTGAAATTTGTTCAGAGCATTATGTTGCGTGGAAAGTGACTTAGTTTCCGTAATATCTGTTTCAGAGCAGAAATGATGGAAATATGGACCAAAAATCCATCCAACAAGCGCACAAGTGCCTGCACGAATCCGCAAAAAGAGAGAATGTTGCAAAATATATATATAAAGAGAGAGAGAGAGAGAGAGAGAGAGAGAGAGAGAGAGAGAGAGAAAGAGTATTTCATTGGAATTGAAGCAATTAAAGTGCATAAGGCATAAAGTAAGCTGTATTACAACCGAAAGAGCTGAATAGTGTTGTGACTGAGAGTAATGCGGTGTGTGAAACAGAACGACTATTACGTACTCGAACAACGAACGGCACACGAAATCGTATATGAAATGCACAAGGATGAGTGATTCGGAAATTAGTTTTCTTTTGGCTCAACAGAGTGTAATTTATTTCGTATAAATTAGGAAGACGAACCTGCTCGTTTATTACATACACACATAAATGTGCTTTGTTTTGCTTTACATGCTCGCTATAGAGTGTGATATTCCCGAAAATAGTTTGTTAACCAGTTGTTGGTTTTCGGCGTGGATTTTCGTAATTAAAAACCCATTAAAGAACATTGTTCTCTGATGATTCTTCGCATTCGGTCTCATTTATTTTGGTTTTCATAAGACATGCTTAACGCTCAAGATGACAGAGAGAATAAAAACCACAATATATTATTTGCATGAACGAAACCCACCAACGAAATAAAAACAAATTCAAAAACCACAGAAAATTCGTTTGCAAGCAATAAAGCAAAGTGAAAACAAAAGTGGACTTGGAACAATTTTGTCTGCAATATTGTATGACATATTCTTTGAAAATGGATTTATAATATTAATAATAAAAGGCTTGTGCATTGAGAGCCCATCAAATATGTACAGTTGAGATATATATCATGGCGATTAAACATATTTGATTAATTTGTCTATAAATTGAAATGCCTGCACAATAAGATGCATTCATGTGGACGTGATTAATGAGTTTTGGAGATCAGCATACTGATAATGGATCGTTTTTTTAATTCAACCATTGACGCAATGGACATCGATACACAATATTTGACGTCGATAATAATGATGATTACATAGATCTAGTGCTCAACTCATTTGAATTTCATATTTTCAACGTAGGCACAAACACGTATTTTTCATTTTATAAAATGTAAAACAAGGCATCATCGGTCGCTTCATTGTCAGACGAACCATTTATACAGTTCAGTTAATTTTGCTTTCTCTCTATCACATTTCGCTTTATGTTTATAATATGCAATCATAAATGAGAAGGATAGAGAGAGTGTGCGTGTGTCGGCATATGCCAATACACATTTACCCCACAATGTTCATATCGCATACAATATCCATGTTTTTTGTTCGTGCGTTCCATTAATATGAATGGAAAATTTACTAGTGAAAAATATTGTTTTTGTCATGTTTCGAATGTCGTCTCTCTCGCGTGTGTGTGTTTTTCATCGAGTGGACTTCATTTATAGAATGGGCACATTACAGTGAATTCTCGGAGTGGTCTGTCACTTGCATCAATTTTCCGCAGTTGAATTACAAACCAAATTCAGCCTCCATACCATATGTGCACTGAATACATAAGCTTTCCCTAGAAAAAATGCTCGTTCGACGTTCGAAACAAAATATTATTATTAAATTTTGCGATGTGATTTTGTTGAATAATTTGCATGCAAAAGTCAATTCGAGACTGTATGATAAAAGTATCGTATACCTGAGCACATAAAAAGTGTTATTGTCGAATACATTTGTTTGGTGAATCAGGAGTTTTTTTTTTTCAAACACATGTGTGTATTGGGGACTATATCCTGATGTGAAATATGACTTTGGTCAATTTTTTTCCTCGAGAGACTTTTTCTGTGCGGTGGATGCTTTCCATTTTACTTTTCCGCACACACCTAGTGTGTAAGGTAAAGTATTGGAATCGGTCGAAAAATTAACACCCATAAAAAATGTGTTTTCTGGGTGTTTTTGGGGCCAGGGAACACGAATCCAGCGTTTTTTCGATGTCCGAATGTATGTGCGTACCCTGTACCCTGTA